CATGGGATTGAGGGTGATTTAGCGGTTTGGATCAGAAATTGGCTAGCTGTAAGAAGACAGAGGGTGGTGGTTGATGGGAAATGTTCATCCTGGAGTTCAGTTACTAGTGGTGTACCTCAGGGATCTGTTTTGGGGCCACTGCTGTTTGTCATTTTTATAAATGACCTGGATGAGGGCATAGAAGGATGGGTTAGTAAATTTGCGGATGACACCAAAGTCGGTGGAGTTGTGGATAGTGCGGAAGGATGTTGCAGGTTACAGAGGGACATAGATAAGCTGCAGAGCTGGGCTGAGAGGTGGCAAATGGAGTTTAATGCGGAAAAGTGTGAGGTGATTCACTTTGGAAGGAGTAACAGGAATACAGAGTACTGGGCTAATGGTAAGATTCTTGGTAGTGTGGATGAGCAGAAAGATCTCGGTGTCCATGTGCATAGATCACTGAAAGTTGCCACCCAGGTTGATAGCGTTGTTAAGAAGGCGTACAGTATGTTAGGTTTTATTGGTAGAGGGATTGAGTTTCGGAGCCATGAGGTCATGTTGCAGCTGTACAAAACTCTGGTGCGGCCGCACTTGGAGTATTGCGTACAGTTCTGGTCACCGCATTATAGGAAGGATGTGGAAGCATTGGAAAGGGTGCAGAGGAGATTTACCAGGATGTTGCCTGGTATGGAGGGAAGGTCTTATGAGGAAAGGCTGAGGGTTTTGAGGCTGTTTTCGTTAGAGCGAAGAAGGTTAAGAGGTGACTTGATAGAGACATAAAGATGATCAGAGGATTAGATAGGGTGGACAGTGGGAGCCTTTTTCCTCGGATGGTGATGGCTAGCACGAGGGGACATAGCTTTAAATTGAGGGGTGATAGATATAGGACAGATGTCAGAGGTAGGTTCTTTACTCAGAGAGTAGTAAGGGCGTGGAATGCCCTGCCTGCAAAAATAGTAGACTCGCCCACTTTAAGGGCATTTAAATGGTCATTGGATAAACATATGGATGATAATGGAATAGTTTAGGTTAAATGGGCTTCAGATTGGTTTCACAGGTCGGTGCAACATCGAGGGCCGAAGGGCCTGTACTGTACTGTAATGTTCTATGTTCTATGTTCTATGTTCAATGTTAATTTAGCACCTGTTTAAAATCTTTCAGCAATACCTCATTTCTAGTGCTACCAGTGTCTTTGGTACACATGTGGATGACAACTATTGGATCCCTCCCCTCCCTCAGGGAGATGTCCTTAACTCTGACACTGGGCAGACAACACATCCTTCTGGAATCCCATTCACTGCTGAAGAGATGAGTATCTACACCCCTCATTGTACTGTCCTCTTTTGTGACCACATTCCTATTTCCTCCAACCACTTCAATGCCTCCCTGCACTGAGGTGCCGTGGTCAGTTTGCTCATTCTCCCAGCAGTCCCCACTTTGTTTGCACAGTTTGCAAGACCCTTGTAACTGTTGGACAATTTCAGGAGATGAAGCTCCTCAATTGTAACCCCGTCTCCTTATACCTGCCTCACCAGCAGTCACACCCTCCTATCCGAGATCACAGACCAATTTCAAATTACCTGGTCTGAGTAGTGTGATCGCCCTCTGGAGCAGGTACTTTCCCCTTCCCTAATCTGGCACAATGTTTGCAGCTGGACTCTAGCTCCTAAACTCAGATCTGAAGTTCCTCAAGCTGAAAATACAATATTCACTCTGAATCACACTGGTGTCCAGCAGCTTCCACATGTTGCAAAAGCAACACAAAATGGCAAGTTATCAGAAAAGGACTTATTAACAAAAGTTTAAGTTACGAGTCCAAGTCCAGAATGAAACCTGTTCAAAACTAATTCAAAACCAGGCTTGAGAGCATACAGCTAGGACTCAAATTCCTAGCAGCATGCAAGGATCTACCAGTCAGTGGCACACAGTTCTAGTGTTTGTTGGCAAATAGAAATTGCAAAATTAGCCATCCGGGGCCAAGCGTTTCTAAGATCTGGAGAGACAGTAAGTTGCCATTGAACTTTGAGGTTTGAGCAAAAATGGGATCCTTGACATACTATTGGATGGCCCTTAAAAAGTTATTTGAGGACGAAATCCTTAGTATTTTGAGATGCAGGGATAAATTTATATTTTGGGTTCTGGGTTGAGGGGTCTGTAGAGACAAGGCTGTTTGGGTTTATAGTCAAGGACAGTGGAGCCTAAAGGCTGCAGAAATGGAGACAGACCCTGGTGGACGGTTGATGGGGAAAGAGCAGGAGGGATAATCATCATCCCATCATTAGGTTGTGGGAGCCTGCACTTTGGAAAAATGGGCTATTAGAAAATGAGTAGGACACTCCACTTACTCCACCATTCACTGAGATCACGTCTAAACTGCAATCTCAGCCATATGCCTCCTTTTCTCCAAGTTGATTAATTACATTTCATTAATAAAAATACAACAATCTCACAACTAAAAGTAACAGCTGACTTAGCATCAACTGGAAGAGAGTTCCAACTTCTGCCATCATTTTTGTATAAAAGTATTTAATTTCTTTTCTGAAAGGGTCAGTAAATTTCCGGAAAGAGTGGTACAAGAGTGAGTACTATCTGCAGAATGGAAGATCTGTAGACAGTTCAGAAACTGCAAAATAATCCTTCCTTCCAGGCACTTACACCATGGACTGAAAACAATCTCATGAACTTCACAATTAGTTCCACTAAAGCACCAAGTAGGAAAGAGACCATGCACACTGAAGCATGCAGATTGGGAGAGAAAACACAATTCTTCTTAGAAGCAGGCAGATGCCAATAAATGTAAGTTAATCTGCATATTGGATACAGTGAAGTAAATTTTAACTCTCCAATATTCAAAATTGGTGACAGGCAGATGGCAGCTTGTTTAACATCTCTCCTCAATTACATTTCCACCACAATCATCCATCTTACATAATCATATGAAGTCAAGGTCTAACCCAGTAGTATGCTGAGACACAAATACGGTCACGCAGTCTGCCTGACACGTTAGCATAGTCCATCCAAGCTGGGTATTGCGAACACAGACTTTGACTCTGTGACTATGTGAAACAGCAGATAGCGAGCCAGTAGCATGATATACATCTCTCTCAATTAATTTTTTCAGTAACCTCGGAATGTGCAAGATGTGACACAAATTATTGGCTCATTACCACCTGTTTTACACAACTGTAAAGTCAATATCTACCCTCTTCAGTTTTCAGGAATGGAAAAGTTCAAAGTACTGTCTCCATCTTACATGTTGGTTGGCTTTTGATAGGCATCTATTTTATTCTAGAGCGAAGGATAAGTAAGATTAAACACACAAATGCTTCAAATCGCAAAGTCAGAAATGTTTTTGTAGCTGCAAGTTGAGTTCATGCACAGGAAAATGGAGGCATTTTTGCTGCACTCTATGCTTTGATCCCAAGTATGCTGATGGCACACTAATTTCTGTATTAAATATGTCCTATGCTCATGAGCCAAAGGTGAGTCTGACTTTGTGGGTAAATTGTTGGAGGTGATAGTAAAAGATAGGATTTATGGGCATTTAGAGTGGCAAAAAATTGATTAGGGATGGTCGGCGTGGTTTTGTGTGAGGAAAATTGTGTCTCACAAATTTGATTGAGTTTCTTATGAAAATTACCAAAAAGGTTGCTGATGGCAGAGCAGTAGACATTGTTTATTTGGAATTTAGTAAAGCCTTTAACAAGGTTCGCATGGTAGACTAATTAATACAGTTAGATCACATGGAATTCAGAGTGAGCTTGCCAATTGGATACATAATTGGCTTAATGGCAGGAGACAGAGAGTAATCGTAGAGGGTTGCTTTTCCGACTGGAGGCCTGTGACCAGTGATGTTCCACAGGGATCGATTCTGGGTCGTCTTTTGTTTGTTATTTATATAAATGATTTAGATGAGAATATAAAAGGCACGGTTAATAAGTTTGCAGATGACACCAAAATTGCTGGCATAGTATACAGTGAAGAAGGTTTTCTAAGTTTAAAAAAGGATCTTGATCAAATGGTCAATGGGCTGAAATATGGCAGATGGAGTCCAATCAGGATAAATGCAAGGTATTGCATTTTGGTACAACAAACAAGGGTAGGGCTTATACAATTAATGGTATAGCCTTGGGTAGTGTTGTAGAACAGAGGGAACTAGAGGTGAAGGTACATAATTCTTTAAAGCTTGCGTCACATAGAGATAGGGTGGTTAAAAAGGCGTTCGGCACACTTGCCTTCGTTGCTCAGTCTTCGAGTATAGGAGTTTGGACGTTATGTTGAGGTTGTACAGGACATTGGTGAGGCCTCTTCTGGAATGCTGTGTCCAGTTCTGGTTCCCCTGTTATAGGAAGGATATTTTCAAGCTGAAGAGGGTTCAGAAGAGATTTGCCAGGATGCTGCTGGATATGAAAGGTTTGAGTTATAAAGAAAGGCTGAATATGCTGGGACTTTTTTCACTGGAACGTAGGTGATAGAGAGGTGACCTGATAGAAGTCTATAAAATAATGAGAGGTATAGTTAGAGTTGTCGATAGTTGTCTTTTCCGTAAGATGGGAAATTTCAAGACTAGGGAGCATATTTTTAAGGTGAGAAGAGAGAAACTTAAAAAAGACACGAGGCAATCTTTTTTACATAGAAAATTTTCATGTGTGGAATGAACTTCCTGAGGAACTGTTGAATGCAGGTACAATTACAACTTTTAAAAGACGTTTGGATGGATACATGAATAGGAAAGATTTGGAGGGATATGAGCCAGGACCAGGCAGGTGGGACTAATTTAGTTTGGGATACTGTTTGGCATGAAGTAGTTGGGCCAAAGGGTCTGTTTCCATGCTGTATAACTCTATGACTCTATCTTGCCCCCTTGCAAAGTAGCAACCTCATCCACTCAACTTTCTGAGCCCCTCATACTGGAAATTAACTGACAGCATTGCCCTCAGTGAACCACAATCTTCTAAAAGTTTTCAGACAACATACTCCAAGAAAACATACAACAGCAGAGAATAGGAAAGCTCACATACCTGCTGCTGAGCCAACAGAAGATGGTTGGACAGAGGGGGAAGAAACATTATTCGGTCAGAACATGAAAGAAATAAAACAGGAAAAGGATGGTGTAATTACATTAACACATTCAGCATTAATACAAATCCTGTGCAACTTGAATACTTCTTAAAATTGTTGGGGTGCGTTTTCAGATGAAACACATTTCATGGAGATTGTGGCAGTATTGTGTGAATTTTCAAGCCTGAGATATTTTCAATCCAAGATTTGATCTACAGGCCACAAATCTGCTGTCTACTCGAAACTGGCCCAACTAAGAAAAGCACTTTACTAGTGTTGGAAATATTTCACTGCCTCAGAAAGGGGTTAAAATACTATTATGGTACTATTGACATCACAAGACCCAGATCTGCACTTACGTACGAGGTTCCCCATTGAGACCAGTGGGCACCACATCAGACAACAAACATTAAATCAGAAATTAGTGGAAGCAAAGTGGGAGATGGAACCTAACCAATTTAAATGCTCACCCGCTCCATTCTACAAATAGGGAGTTATAATTTCACTGACTGCCACCTTATGTTCATCAAGTTACTTCTGAGAAATGCAACTCTGTGTTTCTTTGGCATTCAATATCAATACCAAGCTTCTACATAAGCTATAGATTGTTAGAATAACTCAGCTTTACCCACTTTATGTTTCTCAACACAGGTACAACACTTGTATTTTCGATGGCTTTGTTGAGTAGGAATGAGCAATCGTGTTGATATTCCATTGGCTCATCACATGTCATTAATGCATAAACAAGTGTGACAAAGGATCCTCACAGCCAGAAAACAGAGGGAATTTTGATCCCATCAGGTTGGGCTGTAATCTAACCAGATTCGAGAAATGGAAGGACCATTTTAACCTGTTCGCCCCTGAGCAACCTATTCAGCACAGACAGGAAATGAAGAACAGTTGCTGTTCAGGGACATATCACACTTGGCAAGCAAATAAGCCATTCAAATATACATGGAAATTTCCTCAGGCTTCTCTCATTCAACTTCACTGCCTTCACTTTGGAAAAGGTTTGGTGGAAACCACATTGCTGATCATAAATAGTGGAACAAGAAAAAACCCCAAAGCATTTTCTAGTTATAAGTCCAAATTTTAAAAAAAGGTGTTGAATTTATCAAATGTGATCTTTTGGGAACAGAGAGTACACTGGGAGGGTTCTTGGAAAATCACAATACATAAAATGTCATAATATTTGTGTACCAAACCAAAAAAGATGCACCCAAAATTAAAGATGGTACAAACCTTGGGGTTGTCATCTAAGATCTGGCTCTCAGTTTCCCTGAAATTAATAAATTACATGTAAATGTTATCGTTAAAAATGAAGCCTTTTCATCTAAATTTCTCCAGCCATATGTTGCAGTTAACTTCAGGATGTCCCAAGAAGGCACAGTCAGTTGGGCAGGGATTTATAAACAAACAGTAAAGGAATTAAGGGCTATGGCGAGTAATTAGTAATTTTGTATTGCCATTTTCTGTGCCAGTTTGCCACTATCATTCCAATCTTGAGTCATTTTCATTGTCATGGTGGGCAGCCAACTGAGGCCGTTCATTGATAATAATGGGCCTCCATTCCTACCAAATGGGGTTTACATTCAACAATGTGGGTGGCCCACAGTGGACTGGATCACGTCTATACCAACTTGACAGGCTCAGGGTGTGAAATGGGGGTGATGAGTGATGAGTCACATAACATCCCACCCAACCCATAATGGCTGCCAGGCCACTGAATATCCCATGATGGAGTTTCAATAACATGATCACAGATGAGCAACCATTTTAGATTAAAAGTAAAATTGACCTCTTTTCAGTTAGCACTTTCAGTTGAGGTTCCTTCTCTATTTCTCAAACATAAAACTGTAGATCCCATTTTCGTTGATAGGGTTGCCAATTTATCGGTGCTGGTAAACCTTCTTTCAACCTTCTCTCCTCTAAAGGAGTAACCCCAGCTTTTCAAGTCCAACCTTGTAGCTGAATTCCCTTTCCCCTGGAATCATTTGGGCAAATGTTTTCTGCACCCCTCTAAACCTTTTACATCCTTCCTAAATTGCAGGGCAAAGAAGTGTACATAAGATCAGTGCTCCAATTGAAGATAAACCAGTAACAAAAACAGAAGTTGCTGGAAAAACCTCAGCAGGTCTAGCAGCATCTGTGAAGAAAAAATCAGAGTTAACGTTTCAGGTCCAGTGCCCCTTCTTCAGAACTGATGGTAGCTGGAAAAACGTCAGTTTACATGCAGAAAATGGGGAAGGGTGTGGGGTAGGGAGTAAATGATAGGATAGAGCCCAAAGAGAGAGAAGAGCAGTTGGATAGACAAAGGAGTTGATAACGATCTGGCTAGGAGGGTGAATAGTTGTTAATAGGGACTGTTAGTGACTAACAATAGGTAGTGTGTAATGGCTATGTGATAGCAAGGCCCGGTGTGTGGGGTAGGGGGCTAGGACATGGGAGAGTTAGGCTCTAAAATTGTTGAACTCGATATTGAGTCCAGAGGACTGCAAGGTCCCCAAGCGGAAAATGAGGTGTTGTTCTTCCAGCCTATGTTCAGCTTTGCTGGAACACTGCAGCAAGCCAGAGACACAGATGTTGGCCAGGGTACAGGGTGGCGTGTTAAAGTGGTAGGCAAACAGGTAGCTCAGGGTATTTTTTGTGAGCAGAATGTAGATGTTCTGCAAAGCAGTCACCCAGTCTATGCTTCATTTCCCCAATGTAGAGGAGACCACATTGTGAGCAGCGAACGCAGTAGACTAGATTCTGGGAAGTGCAAATGAGGTGTTGCAGGTGAAGATGAACCAGTGTTTTATAATGATCTACTAAACCTTCCTTTGGTTTCTTCCTCATGTCTCTAGTTATAACATTCAGGATCTTATTGACCTTCTTAATCATTTTCTTAATATGACCGCCACCTTCAATGATTTATGCACATACGCAACAGGTGTTGCTCTTGCTACATTCCGCAATCTGTGCCTTTTATTTTATATTGCCTTTCCTCATTTTTCCTATTGAATTGCATCATTTCACACTTCTCTGCAATAATTTAAGCTGTCACTCCAGCTTGGATCTAATAATTGGGGTGTGGAGCAAACCACAAATCTTCTTTGTTTATACAGCTCAAGGCCTATAGAAATTAGGCCTTCGGGACAGCTGAGACTTACTGTTTAGCACCATTTTTTTTAAAAAACATAACTGACCTACAACAGTCTAATTGTTATCGGAGGTTCTAATGGTGAGACTGTCTCGTTCAGACAACTTGAGAATAATTCTGGTGTTCAGTAACTTAAGTTTTCACCATGGGGGCACACAGTATCAAAGACAGATCTTAAGGCAATTCAAATTTGTGATTACGAAATAGTGCATCACATTTATTAGAAACTCTTCAAACTTCATACAAAATATACTCTTTAATTATTCATTCCCGAGTGTCTTTGGCTAGGCCACCATTTATTGAGTCATTAATATCAAGAGGGCAGTTAGGAGTCAACCACACATGTCTGTGGGTCTACGGTCACATGTAAGTCCAACTGGGTAGAGATGACAGATTCCTTCCCTGAAGGATATTAATGAACTGGATGGATTTTTAACAACAATCACCAGTTGCCAGCATTAGGGAAGCTTTTTAATTCCAAATTTTTATTGAATTCAAATTTCAATGCCTGCTATGGTTGAATTCAAATCCATGTCCCCACAGCACCCTTTGGATTACTAGCCCAGTGACAATACCACCATGCTACTGCCTCCTTTCACATATTGAAGAACATGGACTGATTTTGTATTGCAAACACTGCAGACACTGTGTACGTTATAAAACTGCTTGAGTAGCAGAGAGAAGGGCCATTAGTTGATCATTTTCTTCAGATGGTGCTGACCAATGGCGGAATTTTGCCTGACGACATGGGGAAAATTTCTTGCTTCTCTTTTTGAATACTGCAAGCATCACCCTCCTAACACAGGCCAATGAGTCAGGTGAGATACGGTGCTGACAAGACACTCTCCCTTATAATATACTGTTTACAGAGTCACAGAATAATTATGGTGTAGGAAGGGGCCATTTGGCTAACTGTGCCTGTACCAGTCACCATCTATACACGTGATCAGTGAGAGCTGACTTACTCTGACAGGTTCGGTTTTTCTGAGAATACCCTCAGGATGAACTCTCCTTCTTGGTGAGGATCGTATGTGGAAGGGACAATGACGTACTCCCCTGGGGGGAGGCTGAAACGTTGTGATACCTCACGTAGGTTGATATATGACTTAGACCTGCTCTTAGATGCCCGGTAGAGGAAGAAATCTTTGGGAAGGTGTTGTTTATTACCTTGCATCTAGGGAAAAGAAACAAGTGAATAACCTGGCTGGAGTAAGAAGTCCAGTGTCCTTGGTTAGCAAAAATTGTTAGGCTTCCAATACAATCCCCATACAATCCATTCTACCCATAAACATGTTGCAAATGTCTAAAGAAATCAGCCGATCAAACATGCATTTCTATGGAAGGTATTTATCTCAATTAAAGATTCTTAGTTTTGCCTCCTTAAGATCATATGTAGTAGCATTTCAATAGCCCACGGGTTACTCTATCTCTGGTGCAGACATTTAAATTGTCAAATATACCATTACTCATAAGGCCTTCTCTAAATCTCCTTCTGTTATTTCAGCCCATTTGTCTACTTATGACACTCATTCTCAGTCCAACATACATTATTGTTCATTTATCAGAGCTTAATTTCATTTTATTCATACCTGCCCAACTATATTAGTACTCTAAAACTTTTTTCAAATCTTTTGCTGTATCCACTGGTGCTGGGTCTGTCCAAATGTAACTTTTATATTTGGTTGTACAAATGATGTATTTATAAAATTATTGCTTTACACTATGTAAGACTATACAGCAGGATTTCTCCAGACACTTGTATGAAGCAATTAACACAAAATAGTAACTAAAGTGGGCAGGATCAACTATACCATAGTTTCCAACTAGTGTAGGGTCGGTTAGCTAAATCGAACTAGATTGCAAATGTCAGAAAGCATATCATAACCCTTTCAGAACAGGCAATACAGGCAAGAAAGAACAAAACAGGCACAGCAAACCAGGAACTGCAAACAAGACAACAGAAACCAAGTAACAGAAAATATGTTAAAGGAAATACATCACAACCAATGTTACAACAAAGGTACTGTTACTAAAATAAAACAGCAAACAATACAACATGTTACCCCAATCCATGGCTATTATCTGATTGCTCATTTACCTCTTTGGGCACCTTTACAAAGAAAAGAAAAAATGTTAAAAAGAATCAACTCCACACAAGTCGGCATTTGCACACATTCATAATATCTTGTCAATTAACCTTAGTGTGTGCAGGGGTCTGTACATGTGTGGGTGCAAGGTAAAACTGCCCTGAGTCTCTACTCCTGATCACCATCCAGTGACTCAGTTACAAAAAGCATGTACAGACTGACAAATAAGAACAGAATCAAGCTGAGCTGTAATTTCCCCACTCCAAAGTGAATTGGCCTCTCTCACCACATAAGAAGAATAGATTGGGTTGGGGGGGCAGTCAGGTCAGTTTCAGCTTGTGGAGTAGTTGGTTCAGATTAGGGCGTAGTCGGGTCATGTTGGGCAGTAGCCACGTTGAGGTAGGAAGCTGCCAGTTCATGTTGGGAGCAGTCAGGAAACGTTCACATAGAGAGTGGTGAGAGTCTGGAACGGGCTGCCAGAGGTAGTGGTGTAAGTGAGTACAATTTTGTCATTTAAGAAACATTTAGATAGGTAGATGGATGGGATAGGTATGGAGGATATAGACCAAATGCAGGCAAATAGGACTAGTTTAATTGTGAAAACTGGGCGACGTGAGCAAGATGGGCCAAAAGGCCTGTTTCCATGCCGTAGACCTCTATGACTCTCTGAAATATTACCCTCATCTAACCTGAAATAAACACGATCAGTCTCAGCCTCCTGCGACCGTAAGTCTGTATTACAGATCAGTGCTTTCTTACCTGTAGCTTGTTTCCAATGATATTTTTTGAACAGAATATTTTGGTTTAGATTTCTTTATAATTTAAGGACTTTTTTTTTTAAGTTGTGGACTGAAATGAGAAAGAACTGTGTTAAAGACAGTGTTTTGAAAGGTTGGCTGCATGTTTTGAAAAGAAAGTAACCTGACACCCATAAATAACTGTTCGAACATTCAGTAATTGAAGTGGTTGTGGACAAACAGAGACTGAGGAGTTGTGTATAGATACAGTTAGGTGGCAACAGAGGTTGATGGATCTATGAACAGGTGACCAGGTACAAATGACAAGAAAGGCCTTTTCCTTGCCAAAACCACATTATTGGTTCACAGCTACCTAAACAGCTTGGAGCTGGGCACAAGTTACAAAGAAGGGATTTGAACTCCACAAGCTCAGAAGCAGTCTCTCTGTTCTCTGCAGTCAAAACTCTTTACTTCTGAAGGAAACCAGTCAATGTTTCCTTCAGCATTTTTGCAAGCTATGACTTTTAACTGATAGATCTAAGACATTTTACAAGTGAAGCAGCCACCCCATGCTTCTTACAAACCAGTCAAAGCATTTGATGGAAGCCAGGAAGAAACTTTTGGATCAGCAAGAACCAAATCAACAAAAACAAACAAAGAATTGCAGGCGCAAAAACAGAAATTGCTGGAGAAACTCAGCAGATCTGGCATCTGTGGGAAGAAAGCAGAGTTAGTATTTTATGTCCAGTGACCCTTCTTCATTTTCCTACCATGTCTCTGTAACCGTTGGCCCCTAAAGAGAACAAAAACCTTTCTAGCTCAGCCTTGAATACATTCGATGAGCCAACATTCACTGCTCACTGTGGAAGAGAATTCCAAAGACCATCTGAGAGAAGAAATTCTGCCTCATCTTCCTCTTAAATGACAGAATGCGTATTTTCAAATGGTGCTCCCTTGAGTGGCAACACCCTGTCAGCATCTAACCTGCAAAGCCCCTTGATTCAAAAGGATGATCACTCAATACTCTACACTCCAGTGAGTAGAGGGTCTACCTGATCGGCTTTTCGTAATAAGAAAATCCCTTCATCCCAGGAAACAACTAGTGAACCTTCTCTCAATTGCTTCCAATGCAACTATATCCCTCCTCAAATAAGGATGGAGCGGACATGGAAAGAATGTTTCCACTAGTGGGAGAAACTAGGAACAAGGGCACAGCCTCAGAGTGAAGGGATAACCCTTTAGAACTGAGATGAGAAGGAATTTCTTCAGCCAGAGGGTGGTGAATCTGTGGAACTCATTGCCGCAGAAGGCTGTGGAGGCCAAGTCATTGAGTGTATTTAAGACAGAGATAGGTTCTTGATTACTATGGGGATCATGGTTTACGGGGAGAAGGCAGGAGAATAGAGTTGAGAAACGTATCAGCCATGACGCAATGGCAGAGCAGATTCGATGGCCCAAATGTCCTAATGCTTCTCCTATAGCTTTTGGTCTTAAGGGAAGCAGAACTGTACACAACACTTGAGGTGTGGTCTCAGTTGTACAGTTGTAGCAAGACTTTCCTCCTTTTATATTCCATCCTCCTTAGCTTGTTGCAGTTTATGGGACCTTGCTGTCTTGCAAATATGCTACTGCTTTTGACATTGCAACAGGGACTGCACTTCAAAAACACTTCAATGGTTATTCACACCTCTTTGAGGTTATGAAAGATAAAATATAAGTGCAATTTTTTTGATGGCAGCACATTTTAATCTATGAAAACAACCACAACCTTGCTCATTCTGTCTGAAATTACCTGAGCAATGCTAAATTTTGACCAAGTTGATGTGGTGACATAATTCTAGTTGTGTTTTGTAAACCTATCTCTGAATAGTCTACAAATATCCCAAACAGCATTTACCTCATAAATAGCAAATCCAATGGTATGGAAGTTGACACCCATTCTGCGTTCCTTCCGACGATTCTTTTGCATTAGAGCAACAACAAAGGTGCAGAGGACCTCGGCAACATCGGGATCATCATCCTCCTCGCAGAGTTTCAGTCGGTACTGAGGATTCGTCCAGAATGTGTCTTAAAAGAAAATATATAGGTTTACAAAATCAAGAGGGGCATGACTAGGATGAATAACCAAGGTCTTTTTTCTCGAGTGGTGGTGTCAAAAACAGGACACAGGTTTAAGGTGGGAGGGGAAAGCTTTAAAAGGGACCTAAGAGGCAACTCTTTCATGCAGAGTGTGGTGTGTGTATGGAACGAGCTGCCAGAGGAGGTGGTGGAGAAGCATACAATTATAGATTGGGATGTCTGGTTGGCATGGACGAATTGGACAAACAGGTCTGTTTCCGAGCTGTATGACTCACTAATTCTGTAACAGGAGGGAAAGGGATTGGTTGTTCTGTTCTTGCAGTGTCTAAAACTAAAGAGAAAGAAAGGAAACAAAGGGATAGGAAGTAATAACCAATACAGAGAAAGAAAGGGGAGAATGAACACAAGTAGAGAAGACCAAGGAAAAGAAAACAGTACAACAAAAGCAAAGAAATTTTTAAAAAAAGACATAAACAAATTGAGAGAACAAGGAAAGGAGAAGAAACACAAAGAATAAAAGTCTAGAGCACTGGAGAAAGAAGACAAAATTGAGAAGCAATAAACCTGGTAATTTATGAGCAGACACCAAAACAGCCACAAAAACTTTAGATTTAGATTGCTATAAAACCAGGTATTTTCAGGAGTGGAGCAAGTCAAGCAACTCAGGTGGGGCCAACAAGTGACTCCAGTCTCCACAGCACATATTTGATTCTGAACAGCCTCTGAAGTAGATGAGTGAATACTCATTGTATATCATTGCTATGAAGTTCAATAACAAGAACAGTCCTTTCTAAATATGGTTGCAGCAACTTCTCAGGATAACTAAGGTTCGGCAATAAAAGCTGTCTTGGTCGTACCACATCCCAAGAAGAAGTGGAAGAAGTGATAGAAAGAATACACAGAAAGTGAGAACAAATAAAACAGAGGTGATAGAGAAGGATGGAAGAGAAAAGACAACTATTGATAAGAGAAAAAGTTCAGACCCACCTGGATAATTACGGCAGCCCCCAGCTGAACAGCCTTTTACCCACCGTCCTTCATTGATAGATACTGTCCACCTATGGAGCTTGTCATCGCATAGCGCATCTGGTGTCAGGTTACAAATCTCCAGCTTTGTGAAATTCCTCTTAAAATCATCAAAAGACATCCTGCATATAGCATAATAAAGAAACTATCACATACATTCTAAAGTTTTAAAATCCTGCCATCCATGGGCATTCATGAATAAAGCAGGCAGCACTCAGTAACATGGCAGCCAACATGCTGCCTGGTGCCAGGAACCTATTTACCATTTACTGGCATACCATGAGTAGTCATTAATTGGGAAGTACACCAAATTAAATCCAACTTTCAAGAATAACTTAGCAGGCAACAAAAAGCTCATGCCTCTAGTTTTCTCATTGTTTAAAGGTGGTGTCCACCAAGTGGAGCTGTTCATGATTTGGAGTTGTGGTGAGGTTTTGTCTTTGTCTAACTCAGTGACATGGGAATGGACATAGACGAAGATGGACAGTCCAGTAGCAGAAAAGATGAAGGGTTGAAAGTGTTTTCTCAGATCCTCAAATGGTACAGGTCTAGTAAGAGGCTAGTGTTAGTGCTCAGGTTTTCAAATGTTACAGCAAAAGAAGCATTTATCTTAGGTAACTAGATATGGTTTCTGACTTCTTAGTAACTATACACAGGTCACAATATATTAATGGTAACATGAGGAGTAGAATTCATTGCTGTCTCAAACTACAACAGACCAGAACTGCCTAAGACTCAAGACTCCCTAAACATTCCCCAGTGAAAATAATATATCAGAGGAGGTGAAAGTTCAGTTTAGCTTCTCGATGAACTCTTCTCTTCTCTTGTATGTCCAAGTAGCTATATTACACATACCTGATCAATAGTCAGGGAAGGGAACTTGAGTTTAAAGCAAGCCAGGACCTGCCATGAGCATGGTCATGGTCTCTGATGGAGGGTTAACATGAAGGCAGATGAAGGATGATGGAGGGAGGCTCAGCAGAAGGTCCAGGAGGAGGACAGGATGGTTAAAGATAATGAGAAAAAAGTCTGAAGATTAATGACTCTGGACAGAGTAGTGGTCAGATGTTCCAAAACATTTAGATGAAGGAACTGGGTAATGGTAAGAGCAGCTAATATTAAGGGTCAAAGGCTATGGCAAGAAGCTTGAGAATAATAGAGGGGAGGGTGGAGGTGCATGAGCTCCAACTACAGAGCCACAGAATTAGTGTCTATTGACACAATTGCTAAGAAAGTGCTACTTTGCTAGAGTTCAGGTGCTGCTAGGAAACTTTTAACTTGCACAACAGCAGGTTGTTATGGGTGAAGGTCACTGTGTCATCAGAGGAGTCTAGGGTCTGGTCCATGGGAGGAACAGGAGGAATACGCATTTCCTTGGTCAACTACAGCTTCTCTATAGATGAAAGCCACGTCAACAGAGGTGCTGATATCATTGCATGCTTCTTCCCACAGTTCACCTGTGGGTTTGCAATGGACTTTCAATGGTCCAGCAGAGGAGGGTTTTGGTCACACAACAAAAGACAGAGGAGGAGGGCAGGAGGAATCAAACCATCATCACTGCATAAGTGCATCAACAGATCAATGAATGCTCAGAGACAATGCCAGAGACTGGCCTGGAACTCCTACAACAAGAGCTTCAGCCCCACTGATCTGAATGGAATCCCATGCCAGTCACCCTCAGGTCAGTGTGCCTCTAACCTTTGACACCAGTGGCTCATTTAACAGAAAATGTGTGGCATTTCCCAGGTTGCAATATATAGGTTTAGAGGGGCCAATGAATTCATTTGATTCACAACAAACTCTGATAGCCAGACCAAGAAAGTAGTTAGCCTCAGGGCTGTTGCACGGTTTCCACTACTAATAGCCAGCTGCAATTGCAAATCAGAAGGGGTATCATTCCCTCATGGTTTGAATTATCTGTGACTACTCGAAAAGAATCCTGCAAGGTGTGTTTATTTCCCAAGGAGGTCTCATGACACATACATTTCAAGGAACACCTAACTGCCACATCTAATTAAGATTCCTGTCCATGTGCAAGGCTGGATCCTTGATGGCAAAAGCTACTCCTTCAGAAAGTGGCTCATGACACCAATGGGTCATCCCCATAGCCTTGCAGAGGAGAGTTACAACACACTAGAAGGATCAACAGTAGAAATCACAGAACATAATATCGCTCAAAATGTGCTTCTGATACCTTCGGCGGTCTGAACAGATTTACAATATGTGCCACAGAGATGTCCAGGATTGACATTATCTGCTGTAACTTGTACAACATAGCATGGAAAATGGGAGGAAATTTGCTTCTGATGAGGATGATAGGGAAGAATATGAGGAGGACATCAGGGATCTCGTGGCAGCACTTCCAGATGCAATTGCTATGGATAGATTGTTCTGATCACTGCCCCTACCTGACCACTATTTCCTTGTTTGCAAGCCTTTGCCTACTCTGATTGGGTCCCCCACCTCTGTCAGTCTCCACTGGAACTATATCATTCATCATGTTCTCTACCCCCTAGAAGACAAAGTGGAATGGACTTTTCCACACAGGACATAAAAGAGATGACACCCCCACCCCCCAACCCAGGGCAATGGCACATCTTCGAGGTCACAATTGCACATCATACTTGTATCAGTGACCTTGGCCAATCTCTTTAGCAAGTCGTTTATGGAGAGGTCTTCAGATGCTGCTTGTCCAGCTATGCTGCACTGCCTTGAGAATACAAATCATGCCACATACTATATCCATTAAAGATTGACCTCTAACATGTCACATTGTTGCCTACACAGGTGAGCTGTCCTTCAGTCCCCTTTGCTTAGCAATGACTGCCAAACAAGAAGCATAACAGTGCAAAATACAAGCTAAAGGTAGACATCCCAACAAATGCACATAATGCATACAATAGTCAAATGAACAAAATATATTGTGATATATGCTATTGATATACATATCCTAATAGTGTATCAGCACTTGTTCCATTTTGTTGTATGCCTTGGTGTAACATCAGAAGGTGATGAGGAGGCAAACTGCTGAGAATGATATGCCCATCGTACTATTGCATGTGGGACTTTGCGTTCAGCTCACGCATTTATAATTCACATTGTGATTGGGTGCATGGCAGTTCCCAACATGTAAATAGAAATGATAATCACTTCCTGTCCTGTTGGGAGTCAAGCTCTCCCTTTTAAGTTCTGACGCCCCCAATCCCTGTTTACATTCCAGCCAAAGCATTTAAAATTAAATGATTTCATCCTCACCAGAACTCTCCATCTTCTTTCATTTGGTGCTGAAGTCGTTGCTTTTGTGTTTTCTCAATCTCGGACCACTCCCGGCCCCTGGGACAGAAAAGAAATTCCACCATCAAGCTGGGAAAAGCCCATAAAACTCAAGAAACTACTGTGTCCACCACACTTAGTTAAAATCGGAACCAGAAGCTGCCATTGTAATGTTATGCATTCCATGTTAACTCAGGGCAAACATCATTCATGAGCTGACAGTGATTGCTTCAAAATCAAGAAGGGGCATTATTGATGAGCCTGACCATGACCTTCTCAAACAGGGTACACCTGGACTTTTCAGCATACACAATAGACACTTAACAGCCAAGCTGGCTTTTCCCTTCCCTAGTCAAGGGATATAAAGTTCAATGTGATAGCCAAGAAAAGCACTACTGTCCTACAAACAGGATTTGTAACGTTAAGTTACCAATACTACTCAAAATAGTTATTTGTTTTGAATGCTTTTTATGTAATCTGAGGTCAAAAAGCATGTGCTGTATTATCTCGTTTAAGTATTAATCACAGTTACTCCACACACCGTACATAATACTCACATATACTAGCAGGATTTGTTTAGCTATTACAACAGATACTTCTACATTCTTTTAAATTGACTGATATTTTCAAAACCTATTCAATATTAACTTCAAATCATGCAGAACTATCATCAAGTCCTGTTTAAATATCACCCAAAATTGAATGTTATATAGATCTTTTGGATATGTTATGTTGCCAAATCAATTCCACTTTAGCTCTTCTATACATGTCCCAAATCTGAAGAACAGTAATGTTATATGGGTTGTACAGCACAGGGACAAGACTTTCAATTTTACTGGATATTCCAACGGTCAGATAATCATGGGAGGAGCGCAGACTAGAGTTGTGCCCTGTAGATTCCCTGAAGCAGCTGACTTTGTGAGAATTGTCTGGTAAAGTGAAACTTCCATAAATCCCCTGCATATGGAACACTCTGAAAAAGCCATTAAAATTTGGCAAATTCTGACTCACTTAAGCTTCATAGCTACTGCAACTTCTGGGAGCTATTAAACTGAACCCCTGAATGAGTGATTGGAAAAGAAGAAGGGTGGTGGTTTTTAAGGGAAGATTTGCAATTATGGAACAAAGTTATAACATGCATGGCTTTAAGGAGAGAGATCTATGAAGTGGGTCCAAGGTGACTCAAATCATGAAAGAAGAAGAAGATCAGGACTAAAAAGTCTGGAGAAACAAAAGTAAATCTGAAGCTGGAGGAGGATAGAGGCAAAAGAATTTTTCTGAATGACTGGAAGGAAAAAAATCATACTTATCACTCCAGGACCCATTCCACTCCACTGAGCCCCATGGATTCCTCAAACGCACCAACTTCACATTCTGACCTTTGTAAGTGACCTGTTGGCAAATTTGTCATTTATGGAAGAAAAATCAGAGATAAGCACAGATTACTAAATATAAACGTACAAACCTGCATTAATCCCTTTACCCCAGTGAGCCACCAATAATACCTCCCTGTATCGTTATATTCCACTTTTGTTTCTGCATCCCAGCATTCTTCTTACCATTAATCCCTGCACTCCACTATCCTGATGTAATCATTGAATGTGTTCCAGTCAGCTCCGGTATATCATTCTCTACACCACACTGCCTTTCCTCAATTACTCTATGTACCACAATATCCCGTGTAGTCACTCCCTGTAACCCCACTATCCCCATTTATCACCTTTTACACTCCAGTGCACCCCTCAATCACTGCCTGCACCATAATATTCCCTATAATCACTCCCATTTTACTCTCTGTGCCAAGTTACACCCCTCAGTCACTCCCTGTGTATCCCTAGAATTATCTCACAAATCACTTTGTGTTCTTCTCGCACTACCCTGTGTGAACCTTCCTATTATATATATATTCCAATAATTCAAATGACTGAGCAGTCAGCTTTGAAAACTTACTTCATCCACACTGGTTACAGAATAGGCATGTCCTCTGATCAAACCGCTGGTTGTTCGTGTTTCAAACTGCTGAGGTACGAAAGACTGTCAAAACAGGAGAATCAGTCAGACTGTGCTTGTGGTGTGGCATTAACACCTAACTACCTCAGAGAAAGGGCAATAAATTCTTTCTGCACTATGATACAGCTCATTGCCTACCACCTCCCACAACACACTCCCCCACCACCCACCACCTCCCTCCACTAACCACCTGTAACCTCATTTCTAAATTATGATAGAAATCCAGTCAAAGCTGCATGATTGGGTGTCCTCCCTCCGCTATTACCCAAACTCTGTCAGGAGCTTATAAAACAAGTTATTGAGTGTACCATGTCAGGAGAAGTGATTTTGTTCCTTGCCCATTACTGGATGAGCTGATGTCAACTGTGACAGATCAAGCCACTCCCTTTTGGTCTCCAAGCCCCTCAATTAATAACAGAAAGTGTCAATCAGGCTTCCCGATTTCCAGTGCCACTTGACAACATATAGAGTCATAGATTTGCACAACACAGAAACAGACCCTTTGGTCCCACTCTTCCATGCCGATCAGATATCCTAAATGAATCTAGTCCCATTTACCAGCATTTGGCCCATATCCCCCGATTCATGTACCTTTCCAGATGCTTCTTAAATGTAATTGTACCAACCTCCACCACTTCCTCTGGCAGCTCATTCCATATACGCACCAACCACTGCGTGAGAAATTTGCACCTTAGGTCCCTTTTAAATCTTTCTCCTCTCACCTTAAACCTATGCCCACTAGTTTTGGACTCTGCTATCCTGGGGAAAAGACCTTGACCATTCGCCCTATCCATGCCCCTCATGATTTTAGAAACTTCTGTAAGGTCACCCCTCAGCCTCCGACACTCCAGAGAAAATAGCCCCAGCCTATTCAGCCTCTCCCTATAGTTCATGTGTCAAGTCAGGAGAGAAATGGAGGGTTTGAACTGTTCCCTTTGCTTAACCAGTCACCTTTCACACAATGTAGGCCCATGTGCAAGACAATCACCCAGGCAAGTTCTTGGGGAGCCATCAGGGCTGTAACATCCATACCCCAACTGTTAACACTGGTCTCCCAACTATGAAAATCCAATGACCTATATCCCAGTTTGAATCAACAACTTGCAGAGGGGGCAGGAGGAAAGAGTAGGAGAAAACATTTTTTCTCTATCCCCACCTAGTTCTGCAATGCCCCACCCCCATATCAAACCTATACACTCTGTGCTGTAGGAAACAACTCCAAACCAATCATATCTCTGCACTGAACCACTGCGTGAGTGCACAGTACTCAGACACAGCCTCACAGAAGCTCAGTGACTTGTGCAAGGTACACTACATGCAAGAAAGCAACATGCATTGTGTTGACATGCACGTATTCCCATTCTTGAGCAGGAGATTCGGGGAATGCATGCTTATCCCCCTGCTATGCACCACATCAACTCTCTCAAATCCCTATTTTATGACAAGCACTTTAATCGAATGGTTGGTAAACTTCAAACATACTGCACATTTTTCAGCACAGCCCTCTAACCAGCTACGACCATAAAATGGCAATTAGGTACAGACAGATACAAATAAAGTATCTCATTAACATTTTTAGCAGCATTTTGGTGATGCAAAGACTGTATCTTCATTTTTCTTTTTTTTATTGTGGGGTGAAATGGGAAAAGGACTGTTTTAAAAGGCAAGGATTGTTGAGGCAAGCAACCTGAAACTCATTGTAAGCATTGGTTGCAAAGCTGCTTGTTCAAATAGTGGGAAAGTCTGGAGCCAACGGGTGTATACAAATGAAGCTTCGGCCAGCTAAAAGTAGCTGATTGGTCTGTGGAATGGTGACCAGTCATCAATGACAATGAACTTCCGCTTGCTATCAGTTATGTGATTGTCTCCCAGGTAGCAGAACAACTTCGGGGTATGAAAATTTGGGGAGAAGCCATCGGATCTACTAAAGGGAATGAGCTGTCCTTTTCTCTGCAGTAAAAACATTATCAAGCCTGAAGGTAGTTTATTTTCTCTCAGCAGTTGCTGGAAGCTGTTTTTTTATAGCCAGTAAGTCAGAGACTTAATAGCTGTGAACTAACTCTCCTGTGTCTCCTGCAAAGAAATTTCTGAGAATGGATGATCTCAGCAGACCCTGTGAACAGGGCCAATGGAAATGTCTTCTCAGTCTTTCCCTCCACCCATAACACCCATGTTGATTTTTCGGCCTATGTCAGTCTGTTTGTTTGTGGAGGGGGAATTTATAAGGGTTTTGAGTTTTAATTAGTAGTTATATGTAAATGGTTCATAATTATTTATCTGTAGTTAGAATAAATAGTAATGCTCGTTAAGTGCAGAAACCTGGCCATGCTTTCTGTCAACTTGGATGTAAAACATGGGTATATTGGAGAATTCTGCATACTTCATAACATCTTTAACTTTTGTGACAGCTATAAAGTGTAACAGTGTGCATATGCATTCTGCAAGATTAATTCAGCACAGCAGAGAACTCAAGCTGCCACCTGACAGAGCTGGATGCTTCTGCTGTCATGCTGCTTATAGTTGCTCTAAGCCCAGTCATGAGAAACACACATTCAAAATGGGGGCAAAATAAAGCTAGGCTGACAGGATTAAAGGGGTTCTATTGTCCTGTGCAAGGTAGAAAACATTTTTAAATTGGGATTCATCAGGCACCAATTGAGTATACATCAATCAGCATCAGCACGGTATTTCAGCATTCCAACTCAGAATGCTCCCTTTCATAAAATTCAAAGTATATCATCAGATTTGGACAACTCGAGAAGAAACCCATTTCTTGTTTATTTTGTTTTTTCAGTAAGGGTAACTCATTGTGTAACTGTAGAGTTCATGTTTATTCATTGGGGTAAGATTAACTATGTAAGTATATGACTTCATATTCAATCATGGTAGATTTACTTACTGTGTGACTGTGCGAAGTTTCTCTTCATTCAGGAATGTTAGTCAATTATTTTAATTAACCTGTTCAGACACATACACCCAGGGCATGAGGAGCTTGCCCTAGACCTTCAGGCCACAAGAGCTCTACAGCAATATTAGTCACACCGGTTAGACAAATGCATTGCAAGTGCAATCATTAATTGCCTCAAATCACAAGTTCCTCAATTGCCATACAAACCCTGACAGGAAAATCATCAAAATTCTTGCTCTGATCACCAACTTTGGCCTTAGATCCATCTGCAGCGATTAAAGAGCGAGACAGAAACCTTTGGATCTGTGCTTCTGGCATAAAACCGGTCCCATGAAATATACTTTCCTGGAATATCAGACAGCACCACGGATGAGCGGGAAGGAACACAGAAAGTGAGAAAGTCAGTAGGATGGGGGAGAGAGACGCAGAAAGCAAAAGAATGAGAGAGAGTGAGACAATATGTGAAAGAAAAGCTCATAACAGCAGGAGAGATAAAAACAAGAAAGTACGGGAGAAATAAGAGATATGAAATGGATAAACCAACAGAGATAGTGCCTGAAAAAAAATCCTACAGCAAATCCAGAACATCTGGGGCAGCAATATTTTCTTTACACTCATGGGATGTGAACATCAGTGGCAAGCCAATATTATGATGTCCATCCCATTTATATGTCTCTGGTCAATGGTAACCCCCAAGATGTTGATAGTGGGGGCTTAAGTGAAGGCAATGCCACTGAATATCAAGGACAGGTGGTTAGGTTCTCTCAAGATGGAAATGTAAATTGACTGACACAAATATTACATATGTTTTAACTCCCCACACCTGAATCTTGACCAGGTCTTGCTGTATGTGGACATAGACTGTTTCAGTATCTGAGCATAAGATTCAAAGAGAAAGATGAAGGCAAGCCATACAGTCACAGTAGGGAAGACTTCGCTGCAGTGAGACAGAAACCAAATGAGTATTTTGGAAATTTGGTCAATGAGGAATTCGGGGCCGAGGGGCAAAGATATGTTTTAATTAAGATATACTGCAAGAAAAAAGTCTCCAGAGCAAAAGGTGAGC